CCCGACAATCTAGCCAACTTTCTACCCACCTTATAGTGCATTCATCCAGCCCATACTTCTTTAACTTGCTGACAAGAATACTGTGGGAGACCGTGTCAAAAGCTTTGCTAAAGTCAAGAAACAATACATCCACTGCTTTCCCTTCATCCACAGAACCAGTAATCTCATCATAGAAGGCGATTAGATTAGTCAGGCATGACCTTCCCTTCGTGAATCCATGCTGAATTGTCTTCCTGAATCCATGCTGAATTGTCTTCCTGAATTGTCTTGATTCTTCTTGTGTCATCTTCTTCTTGAGTCATTGTCACGGATCCACGGGATTGGTGCTATGGCCCCAACTTGGGTAGTCTCTGGGAGGAACCCCATTCAATGTGCCCGACCCCTTAGGGGTTCCATTCTACAGCACCTCTGCTTCACACCGTGAGCTCCGTTCAGCGAGTCCCACTGAGACAGATCCCCGAGGGGGACTTGTCCTTTCTTAGGGAGCAACGCACCTCCTCCGCCAGCATCTTCAGGGACGCTCGGCCAGCGCTGTCCAACAGTCGGGGTTATTAGTCAACTGGAACCCAGCATAGGAAGTCTTTGGTTAGCACAAAGAAATGGAAGCCCAGCTTGGCTTTAGTGAAACTCATTGGTCAAGCTCCATCTGTCCCTCCATCTCATCTCCTTCACCAGACTCCAAGGTGTGCCTCAACTGACTTCCACCTCACCCCCTGCTCTTGTCCTTTGTTCCTGAGCTGGGGAGATGTGGTTCAGCCCCCCTGCGGAGAGGCAGGGCCGTCCATATTGCTCTGGGTTGTTGGTTGGTAGGTGTTCATGTCCTGGTGATTGGATTTGCCATTGAGCTTCTCAAGAGCTCCATTGATTTGGGACCCAAGGCCCCAGGCAGCGAGGCACCATCCACACTTGTGTCTTTGCCTGCCCCAAGAGCAAGCCATCCCTTTTCACTCACTGGGTAAGAGTGCAGCATATAGGGGAAACTGAGGTGCACATAAGGCTTCATGAAAATATTACAAAAAATTCCCACTTTATTACAGCCATTGTCTTCCTGCATCTTCTTATGTCATTGTCTTCTTTAGTGACCTTCTCCTGATGTCCTCTTTTGGAGTTATCTTCTTCCCGAGTCATCTTTTTCTAGAGTCTTCTGTTCGAGTTGACGTCTAATTGAGTTGTCTTTTCGAGTTGTCTTCTTAAGTCATCATCTCTGGCCCACTCAGACGCTCAGCGATAACTTCCTCTCGTTAGCTCTGTTTTTCCAGTGCCGGGCTGACGGCTTAGGGCTCTCTGGAGGCCCCGTTAGTTCGCCTTTCAGTCCGCAGAGTTCCAATGAAGCGGTCTCCCAGCTGGGCTCGTTAGCAAAAGGCCCTTGGGGGAGATCGCAGCACTTTGCCCTCATCAGCGGTGGGTGCGACTCCCTTGGCGGGACCCAGGCTGGTTCAGGTGCTTAGGGCCACTGGGGGTCTCCGGGCCCTGCTGCGCTGAGCTGGAGGCGGGGGGCTCTGGGAGCTGAGTGCTGTTCCCAGGGCAGAAAGGGGTAGGGGAGCTGCACAACCCCCCAGAGATCTGGAGATAGGGCAGAACCACCAGTTGTCATCTGCACTGTGGCCAACCGGGCACCTCTGCCAGGGGAATCTTTGAGTTGGAGCAGAGAGGTGATTTTCTTCCCTCTGTGTTTGACCCTGGTGCGACTGTGGCTGGAACCCAGTTTTGGGGTGCACCTTTTAAAAGAGGACGGGGAAAAATTGCAGAGGGGGGCATGTGACACTCTGTACCTCAAAATACCACCCTGGAGCCCCGTATTCACCCTGGTGATGTGGTTGTGCTGGGTTTGGTACAACGCGTGCCTTGCAAGGTCTCAGTTGAGACGTCACAATTGTCTGAACGTTGCTACCCTGTTGGCTGGCGCGTGGGTCTCGTTGGATGGGGAGCTAGGAAGTCTTGCTGCATGTTTGTCACTGAAATACGTGGCAAGTGGGAATGCCCACAGCTGGCCTTTCAGTGGCAAGAAAGGAGCAGCACATGGGCAAGGCGGATTGACCTCTCGATTGGCCGGACAGGCGCTGAGGGCCCATCAAGAAGAATCCACTCTCCTGGAGACTCCTTAGAGGGGGCACGTACACCATGGGGGCGGCCTGACCCCCCACGTCATGGCCAGGAGCTTTCCAGCACCTGGAGAGAAAGTATAAACGGTGATCGCCTGGAGGACAAAGACTTTGAACTGGGGAGATTGGTCCCAGGCTGGAAGGGAATCTAGCCTGTGTATTGAGAACCGGGAGCTGCCTGGAACGTCTGGCCAGGGGGGCTGGGGGGAGAAAAGCCATCTGATTCCAATCTTGCTTCGTCTGATAAAGTTTCGCATTTAGCCTGTGAGTCCATTTTTATTTCCTAGGTAACCAACTTGTACCTCTGTGCCCACCACTTATAATCACTGACCATCGATCTGTCTGCAGTTAATAAACTCATTGTAATGGTTTGTCCTGGCCAGTGAGTTTCTTGCAAGCGGTTGGGGAATCTGGTCAGACTACAAAGGCGGGTGCACGTCCACTTCCCTTTGACGAGGGGGCGAACTAATTAATGAGCTTGCACTGTTCAAGAGAAGGTCTTGAGCATTGTAAGAGGGGACATCTCTGGGGTGCAAGGCAGGGGTCTGGGGAAATTGGCTGGGGTCTCCCTGTGTATAATTCATGAGTGGCTGATAGAACATTTATACAACTCAGCTGGGTGTGTCCCTGTGTATTGATGCCTGAGTGATCACAGCACCTGGAGCGGCTTGCAGCTGGTCAGTGGCATGGTGTTAGGAGAGACAGGCCAGGCTGGAGAGTTTAAGAGGACTCAGCAGTCCCGCAGGCTAGGTTGTACCCTGGGGTTATGTCACAGGGTGTATGGGGATGGATAGATAGATAGACAGATGGATGTATGGGGATAGATAGAGAGAGAGAGGGGTGTGTGGATGGGGATAGTTAGATAGATTCGATTGCATAGATAGGGATATGGGGATGGGTAAACAGAGAGATAGATGGGTGTGTGGGGATAGATAGATAGATAGGGCATGGGAATGCATGGATAGAGGGGGTGGATGGCAAAGATGGCACTTGCCGCCAATCCTGTAATGAACTAAATATTTATTCACCCAGAGAAAGAAACGAGGGCGTTATCTATACTGTGAAAGACACGCCATGAGCTGTTGGTGCCTAGGGTAGCCCTCCCTGAAAATGCCAAGGAGAGCAGACATTCCCCAGAGTGGTAGGTAATACTGAAGTCAGACTCCCCAACCAGTCACAAACTGTGCTCCTGCTCCCCTATGCTAGTTTATCAAAAAGCTGAAAAAAGAAATCACACAGCCCCCTTTGTTGCCTTCCAGTTCTCTGGCTCCCAATCAGCACCTGGGGCCAGAACAGTGAGAAGTTATTTAAAAACTCTGCTCACTAAATGAAACTTTCTTCTGACCCCAAAGGGTCAGCTTCGTTACCAGATCAATATTAGGTTGGATCTGACCCAAAATACCACGCTGCCGGCCAATCCTTTAGCGTCTAAAACTAAAGGTTTATTATAAAAGAAAGAAAGAGCGAGAAGGGAGCGGTTAAATGGTAAAACACTCACATACGTACAAAGTCTTCAAAGTCCATAGATCAGGTTCTAAGCAGCATTGGTGAGTTTGCTGGCTTGTAAAGTCCTTCTGGAACAGATCCTCCATGTGGATGGGTCTGTCAGTCCTTTGTTCAGAGCTTCAGTGTGTAGAGAAGTTACTCCCTGGGTAAGAAGCAGGACTGCACACAAAATGGAGAAGACACAACTGCCTTTTCATATCCTTTGCCACATGGCGTCTACATCCCGTGTCCCAAACACAAGCTGCCCAGCACAGGGCGTGGAAAAGCCTTAGAGGTCTCTGTCCACCGACCTGGACCTACATGTCTTGCTGACTCAAAGGCCTAAACCCGGGCTTCTCTCAATGGGATCACCGTACAGCTGATGGTCTTTGATGGGCCATCAAGCAGGCTGGCTTATGCCGGTGCCAATCTCCAGAAACACAGCACAAGTTGGAAATGCAAATATACCCCACGTATTTATAACTCATAATACAATAATGATACATACATATAGCTTTAATTATCATAATTAACCAATCCTATCTTTCCCGCTGATACTTTACATGGCGTATCTGGTGAGATTCATTGAAATTTTGTAATATTGGTCTCAACAATATTACAAATGGCCACCCCTATTCCATGCAGCGTCACAGACGCACCGACGGGAGACAGTCCAGAGATGCTATAACACATTTGCATTCTGCAGGGCTAACCGGCTGGGGACCCCAGGCCTATGAGGGGAGCTCACGTCCACTGATATCTGGCGCCCGATGTTTGCTGGGCAGGGGAGGACCCTGCCTGCGGGGAGCGAGTGATTCACCCTGGGTGAAGTGTCTCCCCCGACCGGGGGTTCCTAGTCTTAGCAAGTCACAGATCAAGCACTGCATCATGGAGCCGCAGGGCACCGGTAGCATCAGGCGGCCGAACACACGAGGTGCGGCCGTGCCATAAAGTCCCAATGCCAAACACACCTGGCCTGCCAGCGTCACAGGGACGAAGTATTCTGGATCAGGCCAAAGGATTTAAAGGTCTGTATTTTCATCGTGGACAGACAGGAAAGGCCCTGTGCCCCGTTCCCTGCCCCCCTGAGCCAGCCAGACCCCCGCCCTGGGGACGGATGGGAGCCAGCGCCCCCTAGAGGGGAAAGGCCCTGTGCCCCATTCCCTGCCCCACTGAGCCAGCCAGTGTCCTGCCCTGAGGCCGGATGGGAGCTGGCGGCCCCTGAAGCCCATGTCCCATTCCCCGCCCCTCTGAGCCAGCCTGTCCCCGCCCTTGGGCAGATGGGAGCTGGTGCCCCCTAGAGGGGAAAGGCCCTGTGCCCCATTCCCTGCCCCCCTGAGCCGGCCCGTTCCCTGCCCCGGGACCCCAAGTCTCATGGCCTCAGGGAGAAACCCCCACTCCCCATCCGTCTCCTCAGAGCCCCCGGACGTCCTTGTTGTGCAGGCTGTAGACGAAGAGCTTGGCGGCCGGGGTGATGACGGTGTACGTGACGGAGAAGACAGCCCCCCGGGGGGCCGAGTAGCTGGCCCTGGGCTGGAAGTAGACCCCGACGATCGCCCCATAGAACAAAGCCACCGTGGTGAGGTGGGAGCCGTGATGAAGAGGAAGGGTCCCAGGATGACCAGGCCGCAGTCGAAGAAGATGGCCGCCTCGTTGACCCGTGTCGGGGAGCAGGAGAGGCGCAGCAGGGGCTGGTGGTCGCAGAAGACGTGGGGCAGCCGGTTCCCGCCGCGGTGGCTGAGTCTCAGCAGCAGCCCGGCGTGGAGGGCGGCCAGGCCGAGCCAGGAGGCCACCAGGCGCCGGCAGACCGGGGGGCTCATCACGGCCGGGTAGCGCAGGCGGGTCGCCGATGGCCACGTAGTGGTCCAGGGCCGTGGCCACCAAGAGCAATGCGTTGGAGACGCCGAAGAGGTAGAAGAAGAAGAACTGGGCCAGGCCTGGGGCACGGTGACCGAGAGCAGGCCCACATCCACCAGCGACAGGCTACGGAGGAGGGAGTACATGGGGCTGTGGAACCGGGGGTCCACCGTGGTGAGAGCCACCATCAGGGAGTTGCCCAGAACGCCGGCCACGTAGAGCAGGAGGAAGAGGAGGGTGAGGAAGGGCTGAGGCCCCGGGCGGGACGACAGGCCCAGCAGGATGAACTCGGAGATTTCGCTGCCGTTCTCACAACCCATGTGGCTGTGGGGAGAAGGCAGGGAGCCAGGGTCAAAGACCAGGCAGTAGAACCCAGGCGTCCTGGCTCCCAGCACCCCCCCAGCTCTAACTCACCAGCCCCCACTCCCCTCCTAGAGCCAGGGAGAGAACCCAGGAGTCCTGGCTCCCAGCCCACCCTGCTCTAACCCACCAGTCCCCACTCTCCTCCCAGAGCCGGGGAGAGAACCCAGGAGTCCTGGCTCCCAGCCCTCACACGCAGTTATACCCTAGGATTCTGGTTCCAGTTCTGGAAAAGGTGTTTGGAGCTGTGTCAGGGGAGTGCCCTGGCTGGGATGATTTAACTGGGAATTGGTCCTGCTTTGAGCAGGGGGTTGGACTAGATGACCTTCTGGGGTCCCTTCCAACCCTGATATTCTATGATTCTATGATTCTATGAGTGTGTGTGCTGGGTGATTGTGGTGTCTTTTCACCGTGACCCCAAAACAGGTTTTGTTTTGCTGACCTCAAAGCACAACCAAACGGCCGGGCGCAATTCCATTATTTCTCTACAATTGTGACGGCTAACATCGAGCCGCGGTTTTACGGATTTTCTTTCCAATTCGATCCATTTAAATGCAGGAAATCAGAGGCAGCTAGACCTCAGCAGGGGGGTCAGAAACAGAACTATTTCACGACAAGCGATGCTGACGACAGGCTTAGGAGCCCGGAAAGCCCACACAGTTCACCTCCCCTGTCGAAAGATGCAAAGAAAGTACCTTTCGATCGAATCTGAGTTCGCCAGCCGCGGTTTTCTCACTTGGCCGCTCTGTGCATTTCCAGGATTACCACCGGAAAGCTTCGTTCGGCAGGTGTGCTGTGAAATCGGGGGGGACGGAGCCAACTTGAATCGTTCCCAGCCAGGAAAGACGGGCTGTCGGATATCATATAGAGCGTAAAAGAGCTATGGGGCTAGGATAACGTGACCAGAACCGTTTTATGGCAATATGAAAGCCATGCGGGGCTGGAAAGGAGGCTTTTTTAACCTTCTCGGAATGAAGGGTCCTGTCATTACAGAACGTGGAGGAAAGTCTGATTTCTGGCAGAAAAATGACCCCACCGGAAAGTTGTCAGCCGCCTGCACCAGGCCCACAAATGCCCTCCTCACTCAAACACTCACCTACCACTGGCCCATTCATAGCACAACACAAAACACACAACTACACACAACCCCACTGCTCCCAGCCCCTCGCACGTCAGGCGCCGGGTAGCTGAGCCCCCAGAACAGAGGATCCGAATCCACCTTCTCACAAACCCGGTGTCTCCCAGCTCCCTGCAACCCCTGTCACCCCCTCCCAGCCTGCACCCCCCACTACCAGCAGCTGCAGCGACATCCCTCCCCGAGGGGGCAGGAGAGGGGCGGAGAGTCAGGCACCGAGGAACAGGACGGCTCAGGAGTGATTCCGGAACAGGATCAGCAAAACTGGGATCCCACAACGAGATTTATTCACGTGCAGGGAACCCCAAGGGACCCTGAGCAGAGAGCAGCAGGAGAACAAAGAAAATGTCAGATCCCAGCTGGGGTCAATGGGCCATAGCTCCATTGGGATCCAGGGGGCAGATCCCAGCTGGGGTCAATGGGCCGTAGCTCCATTGGGGTCAATGGGGCAGATCCCAGCTGGGGGTCAATGGGCCGTAGCTCCATTGGGGTCAAGGGGGCAGATCCCAGGTGGGGTCAATGGGCCGTAGCTCCATTGGGGTCAATGGGGCAGATCCCAGGTGGGGTCAGTGGGCCGTAGCTCCATTGGGGTCAAGGGGGCAGATCCCAGGTGGGGTCAATGGGCCGTAGCTCCATTGGGGTCAAGGGGGCAGATCCCAGGTGGGGTCAATGGGCCGTAGCTCCATTGGGGTCAAGGGGGCAGATCCTAGGTGGGGTCAATGGGCTGTAGCTCCATTGGGGTTAAGGGGGCAGATCGCAGTTGGGGTCAATGGGCCATAGGTCCATTGGGGTCAATGGGGCAGATCCCAGGTGGGGTCAATGGGCCGTAGCTCCAAAGGGTCAAATTGTTTCCTGACCCAGCCCCGTCCGCTGCACCTTCTCCTAGATTTCCTGACCTCCTGTGTAAATTACACAGCTTGGAGGAAGTCCCCAAAACCATTCCTAGGGCAGATTGTTTAGAAAAACCCTCCCGCTGCTTTGGAAAATTCCCTGTGATGGAAGCCCCATTGCGGCCCTTGGGAGGTGATACCGATGGCCAGTTGCTCTCACCGTTACAAATATACCCTCCTGCGGCTGCTCCGCATCACACAGAGTTTAGCACGGGGGCAGCTGCCGTCAGGGACAGGAACAGGGGAGCTGAGGTGATCTGAGTTGGTCCAGTTGTTTGCCCAGCTGGCCCCATCTGGACCTGCCCCTTGTAGCTGGGTCCCGTTGGGTTGGGCCCTACCTGGCTTGAATCATGTTTACTTCTTTCTTCTGCCCCTGCTCTGATTTTCAACCTCCTTTTAAAACCGGGTCTTCCCAGAACTGGGCACAGGATTCCAGGATGGGTCTCTGCAATTCCGAAAACCAAGGGAAGTCGCCTCCATGAGGGTGTTGGGGTCTGGGCAGCACCCAGCACGACGGGACCCTGATCTCGGTCGGGGTCTGGGCAGCACCTGGCATGACGGGGCCCTGATCTCAATGGGGATCTGGTAGATAGACAGACAGGCCAGTGTACAAGGACATCTGAGGGTGAAGAGTCACTGCATGGACACGTAGTGAGAGGCAGCGAAGAGGAGCTAGGTGGGAGGGGAAACTGAGGCAAGGGATGGGGCAAGGACTTGACCAGGGCTGGCCAGCGGGTTGTGCATCATGGCTAGGAATGGCTCGGGGTCCTTTGGCTGGGTTTTCCCACCACGGCTCAACAGTTCAAATGTGAGACCAGGAGTGCGGGGGTCTTCACACAGTTTTGCTCGAGCTCCCTGATGAGAGAGGCTCAGATGGGATTTTGGGGGCAGGGAAGGAGCATGGGGGAGACTGGAAAGATCCAGGGCTGTCTGAGACACCAGCCAGCACGTGCAGAAGGGAGGGAGATAAACTGCCCCCCCCATCATCCAGTGCTCCTCTGGACCCAGATCTGCACAGGGGAGATCCCCTCCCCTCTTCAGGGAAAACAGGACCGAGGTGACGCCTCCGCTCTGCCCTTCCACGTCCCTTCCCTTCAATTTCCATTTAGCTCTTCCCTCCCTCGGGCTGTCTCCTCCCTTCGTGGGCCATGGGAGACCAGCCCTCGGCATACGCATGACCCTGGCAGCTTGGCAGTGAGCCCATGACCGGGATCCACTCTCATGCTTCAGGGCAGTGCAGCGGTCAGGAAGGATTCATTTTCCCCCGGGGCATGTGACCCAGGGACTTCTAGGATCCCAGCTGAATCCAGAGGTTAAATCACCTCTCTGCTCCTGCTCACGATTCCCTTATTTGTACATCCCCGAGTCCTCCGCCTGCCCACAGCTAGCTCCTCTCCGCCCTCCCCCAGTCCCCTCCCCCAGCTGCCGAACAGCTGGGGCTGGTGGGTGCTGAGCACTATTTGCTTTCCGTAGGTGCTCCAGCCCCAGAGCACACACAGAGTCGGCACCTGTGATTCATCTCAGTGTCGTGCTGGGAGCTCATGGTCAGCGGATCATGCCCCACGACTTAATCCCCCCCCCCCCCCCCCAGTTTTTATTGATGTAAATTTCCACCTTTGTGGGAAATTTACTGGGGGTGGGAAACGATGCGGGAGGGGTCAGACAATAATTAGTTAACGACATTTAGCAATTAAAAAAGCGAATCCTTTCTAGCCTGGCTGTACCATTAATAAAAATATTTTAATCAAGTCCGCACAATGGAAAACGAATGGACTTTATTGAAACCACACCTATTTACCTTCCGGATGGCTGCAGAAATGAAAGATTTCCATGGGTCGCCAGTCAACATTATTCAGGATTTTCGTCTCAAGGGCAACTCTGTCTTTTCGAAATACAAAATCGAGTTTCAGAAAGTCAGAGTTTCCCACAGACCAGGACGTCTGGTTTTATCCACCCCATCTGGACAAGGAAAAGCCACAGATTTGAAGGAGGAACAAAAGAAATTCAGTTTATTGTCACTGGCCACCTGTGGAACTCTCTGCCGCAAGACCGAAAACAGGAGCAGGTGCCCAGGACAGGCAGAGTCAGATGAGACCAGGTTGTGCCCTGCCCCCTGAAAGGGAAATCAGCCTGCTGACTTTGGGGCAAAGCTACCCCAGTGGGCCAGGGAAACTCATAATCCCCACCAGGGGGCGCTTGGCGCATTCCTCTGCCAGCAGCCCCGTGAAGACGGGATACCGGGTTAGATGGGCTCGTTGCTCTGGTCCACGGCAGCAGGGAGTGTGGGAGATAATACGGTTGGATGGGCCGCTGGTTCCCATCGACACCAGCAATTCGGCTGCTTCCATTTTCGGGGCCAGGAGTTGTGACTCCCAGCCCCGCCGCTCTGACTCACTAAGACCGTGCTCCAGAGCCAGGGAGAAAACCCAGGAGTCCTGACTCCCAGCCCCCCCCCCCCCAACCCCTAGACCCCACTCCCCTCCCAGGCAGAAGGGACTGGAGCAATCCTCCCGCATCCCTGCCGGCCACCTTAGCCCCAGGCCCTCGCTGTCTCCCTGTCCTCGGCCACCAGCTCTCCTCCCGCCCGGGCTAGGCTCCCAGGGGTGCCGGCCCCCTCCCCAGCGCCCGCCAGAGAGCCCCCCTCATCTCCTGGTTGCGGAGGCTGTAGATGAAGGGGTTGAGGAGGGGCGAGACGGTGGAGTAGAGCAGGGTGGCCACCATGTCCCGCCAGGGGGCGTAGCTGCCGGCCGGCCGGAGGAAAAGCCCGATGACGGTGCCGTAGAACAGGGCCACCGTGGCCAGGTGGGCCCCGCAGGTGGAGAGGGCCCGGCGCCAGCCCCGGGCGGCAGGCAGCCGGGCCAGGGTGGCCACGACGCGCCCGTAGGAGCCGGCCACCAGGAGCAGCGGCCCCAGCACGGCCAGGCTGCCCTCGGCCAGGATGGCGGCATGATTGGGCCGGGTGTCTCCGCCGGCCAGGGCCAGGAGCTGGCGCAGGTCGCAGAAGAAGTGGCGGAGGCGGGGGCGGGCGGCGAAGGGCAGGCGGGCGAGGAGCAGGGTGTGGAGCAGGGCGTGGAGCAGGGCCAGCCCCCAGGAGGCGCCCACCAGCCCCCAGCGGCGCCCGGGGCTCATCATGGCGGTGTAACGCAGCGGGCGGCAGACGGCCAGGTAGCGGTCGTAGGCCATGACGGCCAGTAGGAAGTTCTCCAGCACCCCGAAGGCGATGAAGATGTAGTTCTGGGCCAGGCAGGCGGCGTAAGGCACTGCCCGGCTCCCGAATGCCAGGGTCCCCAGCGTCGTGGGGGCTGCGGCCGAGGTGAAGCCCACGTCGGCCAGTGAGAGGTGGGCCAGGAAGAAGTACATGGGGGCCCGGTGCAGGCGGGGGTCCCGGCGGATCAGCAGGGCCACCAGCAGGTTGCCCAGGAGGGTGGCCAGGTAGGTGCCCAGGAAGAGGGGGAAGAGCAGACGGCGCGTGGCTGGGCAGGAGGCGAGGCCCAGCAGGACGAACTCGGAGATGCTGGTCCCGTTCCTCGGTCCCATGGTCCTGAGGGGGAAGAGCGGGGGACAGAGTTATGGGTCTGGGCCCACTGCCCCGCAGCTGGCCCCTAATGCCCTGCCCATGGAGCTCTCCAGCCTAGGGCTACCTGCCGGACCCCATGCACCCCTTCTGGCTACAGATCCTCCCACATCCATCAATCCCCACATGCCCCTTCCAGCTATCTGTCTATCCCCCCATCTATCCATCCTCATTCCCCCCATCTATCTATCCCCACACCTCCCCTCTGTCTGTCCATCCATCCTCATCCACCCCCTCTGTCTGTCCATCCATCCATCCATCCATCCATCGATCCATCCATCCATCCGTCCATCCATCCACCCACATCCACCCCCTCTATCTGTCCATCCATCCCCCCACACCCGCTCTGTCTACCCATCCACCCCCATTGTCCATCCATCCCCCTCAGCCCCCCGTCTGTCCATCCCTCCCCATCCACCTCTCTGTCCATCCATCCATCCATCCATCCATCCATCACCATCCACCTATCCACCCCTCCCCACCCACCCCATCTGTCTGTCCATCCATCCCCACACCCCCCTCTATCTATCTATCTATCTATCTATCTATCTATCTATCTATCTATCCTCTGTCCCCCTCCCCGCATACACCGTGTCTATTTATAAACTGGATTCAAGGGCTCTGCGTTTGTGCGGTGGGGTCAGTTGTTTTGAACGGTAAAAGGGTGGGGCAAAGGGGGCCAAGAAGAGCAGCATCCCTCAAACTGTGGGGCATGGGAGCAGTATGGCTCGGCCCGTGGAACTCCCCACTGCAAGCTATTCCATTTCACAAGGTACTTGGGTGCTGCAGTGTCAAGTCCCTCACAGTCATTTGGATTTTATCTACCCAACACCCGGGAAGAATTATTATCCCTGACTGAGAGCTGGGGGTGGCTTTGTGCAGTTCAGCTCCCGTCAAACTAATCGGCCTTTCTCCGTATGAGCGTAACCCACTTTGGAACTGGATTAAACTAATCCAGAAAAAGGGGATGTGTTATTCCAGAATAAGAGAGTCCACACATGGAGGCATCAGGGGTAGCCAACCTGCTTTCTATTCACACCCTTCCTTAACTTCCCACCCCCGGCTCCCATTTCCTTGGCTTCCTCGGGTGCCTGAGACCGTGTGAACAGAATTGGCTTGGCTCCACTCCCCTCTCTTGGCCTCCAGAGGGCTCCGTAGCATTTTAAACATGCCCGAAGCGAGACAGGAATCACTTTACTGGCCTTCTCTTATTCCAGTTGTGATGTTTACTGATTTTCCTGATTTCCGTTCCCCTCATCTGGGTGTGTTTCTGGGTGTGCTTCCCCCCAATTCCACCCTCTCAATTAATGCCACTGAGCCACCACGGAAAAGAACCGGGGATCTGTGACCCCAATAAATAGGTGTCAGCAGTGTTCAGGTTTCAGAGCAGCAGCCGTGTTAGTCTGTATTCGCAAAAAGAACAGGGGGACTTGTGGCACCTTGGAGACTAACCAATTTATTTGAGCATGAGCTTTCGTGAGCTACAGCTCACTGCATCGGATGCATTCGGTGGAAAATACAGTGGGGAGATTTATGTGCACAGAGAACATGAAAGAATGGGTGTTACCGTACCCACTGTAAGGAGAGTGATCAGCTAAGGTGAGCTATTACCAGCAGGAGAGTGGGAGGGCGGGGGGGACCACACGATCCATCGTCTACAGCCAAGCTCTACGATACAACCGCATTTGCTCCAACCCCTCAGACAGAGACAAACACCTACAAGATCTCTATCAAGTGTTCTTACAACTACAATACCCACCTGCGGAAGTGAAGAAACAGATGGACAGAGCCAGAAGAGTTCCCAGAAGTCACCTACTACGGAACAGGCCTAACAAAGAAAATAACAGAACGCCACTAGCCATCACCTTCAGCCCCCAACTAAAACCCCTCCAACGCATCATCAAGGATCTACAACCTACTTTGAAGGACGACCCATCACTCTCACAGATCTGGGGAGACAGGCCAGTTCTTGCCTACAGACAGCCCCCCAACCTGAAGCGAATACTCACCAGCAACCACACACCACACAACAGAACCACTAACCCAGGAACCTACCCTTGCAACAAAGCCCGTTGCCAACCGTGTCCACATATCTATTCAGGGGACACCATCACAGGGCCTAATCACATCAGCCACACTATCAGAGGCTCGTTCACCTGCACATCTACCAATGTGATCTATGCCATCATGTGCCAGCAATGCCCCTCTGCCATGTACATTGGCCAAACTGGACAGTCTCTATGCAAAAGAATAAATGGACACAAATCAGACATCAAGAATTATAACATTCAAAAACCACTTGGAGAACACTTCAGTCTCTTTCGTCACTCAATAACAGACCTAAAAGTGGCAACTCTTCAACAAAAAACTTCAAAAACAGACTCCACCAAGAGACTGCTGAATTGGAATTCATTTGCAAACTGGATACAATTAACTTAGGCTTGAATAGAGACCCGCTCTCCTGCTGGTAATAGCTCACCTTAAGTGACAGGTTTCAGAGTAGCAGCCGTGTTAGTCTGTATTCGCAAAAAGAAAAGGAGGACTTGTGGCACCTTAGAGACTAACCAATTTATTTGAGCAGAAGCTTTCGTGGGCTACAGCTCCCTTCATCGGATGCAATAAGTGATCACTTTCCTTACAGTGTGTACGGTAACACCCATTGTTTCATGTTCTGTGTGTATATAAATCTCCCCACTGTATTTTCCACGGTATGCATCCGATGAAGTGAGCTGTAGCTCACGAAAGCTTCTGCTCAAATAAATTGGTTAGTCTCTAAGGTGCCACAAGTCCTCCTTTTCTATCAGTGTTCAGGCTACATTTGTGGAGAGAGGCTCTTCCCGTAGCCCTGCCTGCCCCTAAGAGTAATATTAAATATTTCATTGCCGCGCTAGGCTCCTTTCAAGGATGGGCAAATGGGGAAACTGAGGCAGGGAGCAGTGCAGCATCTTGCTCAAGGCTAACGGGCAGACATCGGGGTTTGAGCCCAGGTTTTCTCAGCCGGCGCTCACCGGTGTCTCTCCAAGAGTGATATTTTTCACTGCAGTTTCGGGATGCCCGGAGTGGCCGATCCAGGTAACGGTCAATAACGAATGGGGTGGGGGGGTATAATTAGCGCCCACCAGCGTGGCTGTGTGGCCAATAGGTCCTGTCGCACCAAGCAGCCTTTCTCCGTATGATCTCAACCCGCTTTGGACCGGCGTTGAACTCAGCCGGGAAAAGGAGACGTGTGATTCCGGACCGAGACAGTCCACCCATGATGTGGATTCACGTCCTGGTTGCCGAATTAGTTCAGCTCCCCGGCCCCAAATTTCCAAGCGATTAAAACGGTCCGATGGTTTGGTACGGCCGATGGGCTTTGGGAAGAAAAGGGACCTTGGAAAGGAAATGTTCTGGTTCAGGGGGTCCACAAAACGCTTCGTTCCACCCGAAGGAAACCGCGCGGCTCCCTTGGGTTTGGCCAAAGGGGCGGGAAATCAGTTCTCCCCCCGGCTCAGCTCTTAAGGAACCTCGGGGCCAGACTCCCACCCCAGATTAGGACCCGCGGCACGCACTGAGTTACCCACCCTGTCTCTGACTGGCAAGGTGGTACCACTGACCTGCCTGGTTCACACCAGATCCCTTCATGGAGAAATTCCTCCCTCCGCTTGCAAGGCCTCAGAAAGGACAGCCGGAGACGAGGCCGGACATGGGGATTTGAATGCCTCCCCGGCTGCCTCCGGTGGGGCGGCTCCAGCAGCCGAGGTGAAGGGAGGCAGGTCCCGTTCTGGCACCTCG